CAATTAAGAAGCTCATGTCATTCAGTTTATAAAACATTGTTTCATATCTCTAGTATCGTGGAAAATGCCTGTAGCCCATTGTTCTAACTGGACAGTTTTATTCAAATTGTCTTCAAGACACATCCGTGCGTTCAAAGTCCAATTCATTTTTTCATCAAATCATAAACGGACGATGATGTGACTAGAATCCCAAGATCTCTCTATTGTGATACCTTGTTGAAACCACCTCATCCAAAGCTTAAACCATTAGGAATGTGACAAACTTATTTATTTTAATTATGTCTTCAAGAATTTCATATTTCTATTCTATACGGTACTAGAGTTGTGAATATTGTCAAGAACTATTATGAAAAAATGATGATTGTACATAATACAATTATAAAGACAATTACCTGTCAAGTTCAGAACCCATATCAGTAGCCATGCCCTTTAATTCACCCAATATATTGCTTAGATTTAAAAGTGCATCACCTTGCTTTGCCTTCTCCACCAGGTAATGAACATTAAAAATAATAAACACATATCATAAATGCATGCATTCTTGTAATAAATGGTTAATAATAGAATAATTTCTTGTAATAAATGGTTAATAATAGAATAATTTTATATAACAAACATATACCTCAATTTCCTGTAAGGCATTTGTTGGATCTAGAGGAGGCATCCAATAAACAGGTCATCCTTTAGGCGCTAGATCCAAACCTAACTTTTCCTATGAACCAGTCTACTTCGTTTTTCTCTATCATTTTTGTTTGTAAAAGACATGTAATCAAATAAGAGATGGATCAAATATCCCAAGGGGAAAAACCATATTAATCATGTATTATATTTCAAATCAATTGAGTTTCATATAATATTTTCCATGAAACGATTGGGACTACAAAAAAAGAGAAGTGTTAAACCTCTTGAATTTAAAGGCCCAGTGATGTCCCATCTCTTTTTTGGCTTCCATGGCGTAGAAAACATGTCTCCCAGATTATTCAACAATTTCTCCCCCTGAAAGAAAATTGTATGATCGTCGTTACTAGAGAAAAAATGCAATCAAAAGCAAGGAAATATGGTGTCAAGAAAAAAAAAAGAACAATTGAACAGCAGGTGAGAAATCTAATTAGTCCAAATCAACTACATCCAACATTTTAAACCAACATGCATAATATATCATCAGCAAAAATAGTTACTTGTTTTAAAAGTAAGTAAACTTATTAAGCTTATTAAACCAACATGCATAATATATCATTCATGCCCTAATCAGATCTCCCATGACAGGTTCTCCTACATGACGCAGCTACACACAACAGATATGTCTTCAATCTGTATTCTAGTATTAATAAAAGTAAAGATCCCTAAGAATGCTTTGAAAATATCGAGTTACACCATAGTTGTGAGGCATATTAAAGACAAATCCATCAAAAAACAATAAGCATTTTCTGGCATACTATGAAACACATGCAGAGAGGCCACACAGATGTAGAGAACACAGAGGTTAAGTTTTGAAAGAGGAAAAGAGTCAAAGTTCGGAAGATTATTGCTTAAAAACTATATTCACGGTGACTTGTTACCAAATTCAATAGTGTACCAAAAAGTTAATATGGCTAAAGCAGAAAAGATTTTATAACTTCTCCCCAAGCAATACCAAATTCGTTCATACTCCATAGAGGGGAGAATGAGAAATAATTAATCTGTCCACAAGCTACTATGTCATGAAAAATATAGATGCAAATTGAAATAAAAGTTGATATACCCTGCTCAAGTTTCTGTCCATATCAATAGCCATCATGTGAGTCATGTGTATTTTGCTCGCCCTGTTGATGCAAGGTCTATAAGGTTCTATCACCATTTTATCTAATGTCTTCAGGCAGTTGTTCACTGAGTTTGTCGTCTCTTCAGTCTTGTTCACAGCATAACTCTGCAATTCTTGAATAGACATGCTCTCAAGTCCTCTCTTGCCCTGAGACTTGTTACCATCTTTGTTTCTAGAGGAGTACGAGGATGAGGAAGATGCTCCTCTTCCAATATCGTCGTTGTCGTCGTCATCATTGAAGGATTAGATTTTTGGTTTAGTGTAATGAGCACTGGTCCAGAAAAAGTTCTTCTTGCAGGTGTAACAATTGGTTTGTTATCATATTTCGCATCAGGATCAAGAGGATTAGAAGAATCAACTGAGTTTTGCTCCGGCAGTTTATTGTCAAGTGATTTCCTAAAGCCAAACATTTTACCAAATCGGTTTATGAGTTGAATTACTACCCAGAGGCCTGGAATAATTCCTTTCCAAAGTTTCTGTCCTGCTAGGATTGTTTAAGATACACACGATGTCCAATTGCAGCACCTGGAAGCCCAATTAATTTAGAAAATGGAAAGGATATCATAACTATCCAATTATACTTTTCAGGTTAAGAGATATTTTCACATAAGAAGATATGCCATATATCACAGACCTAAAATATTATGACACATAAATGACAAATACATTAGATGAATGCAATTAGGATAATCCTTTTATGCACATCATAGGAATTTAAACCATTATGCAACTTTCAATCAAATATCTCAGAGAGAGAAAAATAATGGTTTTCAAGTGCAACTTTTCTAAAGAGTCAAGTGACTGGTCAAAAAAAAAATAAAAAATCACCAAGTTAAATTTTTATAAACGGTCATCCTTATTTCTGCATTATTAAGAATGAAATATATTGGGGAGGACCATGAAGGAGAAACCGAAAAATGGCTAACTTTCTAGAAAATGCACAAAACAGCCGCAATTTTTCATCTCTATGACGAAACTACCCCCGTTAATATAGATCATTGACACTTGAGAAAGTGAAGGGAAATGTTATCAAAACATTTTGTTTGCACCTTTTCCCCTTAACCAACATCCTTTCCATTTACTGATTTCCCTGACTCATACCATCACTTTTCTCTTTCTTTCACTAAAACTCCTTTTCTCTAGCACCGAAGCTCTTTCTTCCTTTCTCCTTTAAAACACCACTTGTAACATGGCCCAGCCTACCCTGTAGAGCACGGTGAGAAAACAGTTTTATTATTTCAATTCTTTTTCACTTTTTCTTTCATATATTTTGCAATTGAGCTGGTATTGTTTGATTATTACTTTCTTTTTCACATGTCTATAAGGATAAAGAGATGGCAGTAAATCATGCTATAGAAATGAGAACTTGACAGTTAGTTTAGAACATCTAGTTTTAGGCATGCCAAGAAAACAATTCTTCAGGCAATTCCTGCATCAATTGGGAGTGTGATTAGTGAAATGCAACAAGAAAAATGATTTATGGTTTATGGTTTATATTTGACAAGATTCTTGCACGATTTAGCTTAAATGAATTTGCATAAATTGAGACATGACATGAGGGTAGTAAGATGTATTTCGATGGATTTAATCCGATTACTTGCAAGCAATTGGAGCTAACATTTCTATTCTGGGATAAACCTAAGGATGAATATAAATTAGCACGTGTGCTATTTTGGAGGCTGATGTGCACTCGAGACATAAAAGCTTAAAATCCAAAATAATTCTTTAGCACTTGTTGAAGATGAAGAAAATCTCAAAAGATACACGGGGGTAAGTTATGTTTGTAAATGACCACTGCTTTCTTCAAAGATATTGGAGGGAGTGCGAACTCAACAAATCCTGCAAATACAAAGAAATGGGAAAGGAAAAAGAGAAGCAACAAACAAAGGACACGGGAAGAAGGAAGAGGGAAAGAGAGCTAACAGTCACTAACGGCTCTTAACTGCATTTCAATTTGTTAAAGAAACAGTGTCGTTTTCATTCCTTTTAAATTCCCTTATGTCTGTATTAATCAAAATTCGTTTATTCTCCAATTTCACGCTATAATCCTTTTTTCGATTATAACAGTTGGGAAAGAGAGGAAGAGAAGCATGTGAAGTGTGATCATTTTGATCTTGATTCTCTCTACGTATCTCTCTTTCTTCCCTCTTTCCTCTTCTATTTCTAGCTCTATTGTAATTCTCTGAAGAAATTCAATCCAATACAGCTGGGCATTTTGATTTATTTATGGCATTTGGTTGTGGTACTTGAAGTTAGAAGGTAATTTTGGAATCCAACCATAACATTTGGTATCAGAGCAGTACTTGAATTATGAATGGATACTTGAAGTAATGAAGAACAGATTAAAAGGATAGATAAAGAGTTGGAAGATTTGAGTGCTGTTTACCAGGGTACTGACAAATCTGCAAAACTTATGTGCAGCAGGCAAGACAGGTTGGAAGGGCTGATGATTGAAACGAATTATAAGTATGGATCTCTGGTCGCCATGATGGCCAAGATGAATGGGAGAAATGGTAAGGGAATGCAGATGGAAGGCCACATGACTCCAATTTTATCTGATGATGGAGCAAAAATTTCTAGAACAGGGAACTCATCAACCCAAGGAAATGGTAAAGGCGAATCACATGCTGAATACAAAAATTCTTAAGATTGATTTTCCATCCTTCAGTGTTGTAACTGTTGGTGAAATGGTTAGTAATGGAGATTATGTAAAGCTTCTCGAGGATGTGGCCATCTTCAAAATTGACCAAGGTATAGCAGAAATTTTGTTCGACAAACCTAATAAGAAAAATAATGAAGAGGATGGTGATATTCAAAAAATCATATAAGTATTGCTTCGATTTACAGATGCAAACCAGAGGATGAGCTCACAAACTGAAAGTAAACCACTTGAGGAGAAGCTTAAACAATGTAAAGATATTTGTGGTTTACAGATAATTCCAAGTCAGCTGCCCATAATATAAAGAGCAAACCTAACATGAATAACTGGACAAGTCCTGACTACTGATTGAAACTTGGACTGACTTTCCGTCTTCAGGATGGGGGGCTGAATTGATTTATAATAGCCCACTCTGACACAATAATAGGTATCATAACAAGAATGTTTGTCTTATTAATTTTTCAATTAGTGTTGAATTACCTGAAACAACTGAATTAAAAAGCAATACCCAAAAAATCAAAAACAAAATAAAGCTTCAGAATTGAAAAAATTATATACTTGTTGATATCCTAAGTCATGCATCGAAATGATGCAAATTACAAAGATCTCAAATTGAAAATGAACTATCAAAGAACCAAAAAATACAACTAACTAACAAGAAAATACTAAGTCCAAATATTAATAGGAGCAGCGTCCCACGAAATCAGGTCAGCCACAAATGCGCTGTCTTCGAACCAATCCCGATTTGGTTTAAAACACTGATTACTTGGCAAAGTAAAGGAGTTCACTGATTCGCTACCAGAAATAAATGAGTTGAGATCAGTTGGTGCAAACTGGTTGAATTCTCCATTATTTGTCACAGAAAATGTATCCATCAATTCACAACCAGGGGTTAATGAGTTCACCGCCGGTGTAGACGACTGAAAATCTTGATCTGTGTCGGTTAATCCACTGCACGGATTGAGCGATGTTGGAGTTGGTGCAGCTGTGAAAAGTTCTTGGTTGTCCCGTGGATTTTCAGATCCAGCATTAAAAACATCGCACCAGTCAAATAGATCATTCTCCTCAAATCCTTGAATTTCTTCTAGTTGTGTGTCGAAACAAATGGAGTTATTTATAATTGGACTCTGACCAAAAGAAGCAGTTTCTTGGAAGAAGGAACGCTTTTGATCATTGGACTTAATCAACTCGATCCTCTTCCTTACTTCACATAACTTTGCATCAATACTTCTAAGCACATCTTCATCAGTAAACCCAGTTCTCTTCACTCCCTCAGAGACAGCACATACTTTCTGTTTTTTATTACTGCCACCATGATCAAGTTCTTGGGGCCGTTCCCTTTTCTTCTTGTCGACTGGGCAGTTTTTGTATGCTTGGATCACCTGCCGCACATCATCATGACTTTCTGGCCATGTTTCGACTCTTCCGTCCGGCCCAACTATAATGGCACAGACCTTGACATCACAGAGAACAGAGAGTTCCATGCTCTTCTTCTTGATGCAATCTTTCCGCTTCAAAAAAGTCTTTTCGATGGCCCTCTGATTCTTGTTTCTTGGCAGCGCGTTCTCCATGATTCCCTGCAGTTTCTCAAAGAGGAATCAAGAAAGCACTAACGAAATTGAAGAAATGGGAATTCCCTGCAGCTTCTGAAAGAGGAATCAAGAAAGCACTAACGAAATTGAAGAAAAGGGAATTGTGCCGGAGAGAAATTGAGGGAATTTTATTGATATGTGAGGTGAGTGCGTATATATAATGAAGAGAAAATTACCGTTGACAGATTCCCGCGCCAACGGCTATTTTATTTGATTTTGAATCCCATTTCATTTGATTTTGCCGCGCCAACGGTTCAATCGGAAGCGCCAATTCTATCTCCGAAACCGCTCTCTTCCCAAATTGAGCAGCAGCTGGGCAAGTGAATGCAACGTGGACAGTGTCTTCATTTGATTGTTTAAATGAAATAATTTACCTAATTCTTTTTTCTTTTCTTTTTTTTGGGTAAATTAGAATTGGGAAAAAAGGTTGATTGACTTTTTAACTCTTCTAAAGTTTGGGTGAATGCATTTACTTTTTGAAAAGTATTGTGATCACTATTACAAATTTTTTTTAAAAAAATAAAAAAAAATTCAAAGTTTAGCATTGATTTTCAAATTCACAATTTATGTGATTTTTATGTATGATTCTAATATTCACATTGACATTTTCCATCACGTGAAGACCTATGTTGACATGCCTTCAAATAAAGGGTTCGCACGTTTGGCTAAGCTTAAAGATATTTATTAGGCAAAAAAATTATTTTTCAAATATAATAATACTATTTAGTGAATTATTTGACTTTGCATAAATATATATATATATATATATATATATATATATCATTTAATGTCACCTAATTGCCCCTTAAACTTGTGTTAAGCACATGTGAAAATGAATAATATTACTCTTTAAAATATGCATATTTCTATTTATAAGTAAAAGATAAACTATCTCTAGAATAGGGTAGGATTTCATTTCAAAATAATCAACTTACCAAAGTACAAATTATTTATTATAGAATTGACTTATTTACTTATAATTAAATCTTTTTAAGCTTAGCCAAACACGCATTGCTAACATTTTGGATTTCACACTTGTGTCTTTAATTATGTTGAGTACTGAGTTCAACCCTTGTACGATAACAAATGACTACTTACAAACACGCCTAATTTTTATTATGCGGAAATAGAACAGTACCACATCCTTCAGCCTTGCTATTACAGACGTTACAAGATCAAAATTTTTTTGCAATCTATTTAACATAATTTACCTCATAGAAGATATTTTGAGTGTATCCAGAAGAAATCAAGCAACATTATTTCTATATAATACCAAGTCACAAATTATAAGCTACAATGACATTTATGAATCAAGTCATTCCCGAACGTCACTAAACAAACTTCCTAAGGTTTTGCTGAGGGAAAGAAATACATTTTAGCCTCTTATCCATATTAGATTAAGGAGACGATCGTAGGATTACCTGCAGGGCATCTTTGTCGGCGGGGTCGTCTAGTTGTCTTCTCCCACTCTGTTAGGCTTCTATCCTCCAAAACCAGCCTCGGCATTGTTAAATTTATGCATCAACAGAGTGCAAATCGGACTATCAACAAGTGCAGATGGAGTGTCAACGAGTTTACATCACCTTCCCCGAGATTTCTCATGTCGTTTCTTCTAATCAATCTCGAATTCGAAGAATGGCTAGTGGTTCTCATCAGGCCTCCGAATATCTGAATATCCTCCGTGACTTCATGTCTTGACAATGATACTTAGCTTGCAGTAGGGGATCACAAAATCTAAGTGCAATATAGTTAGATGAACACAAAGTGGAAGGAATAACATTGCCTGAATTCTCAGCTGGCATGCTTTTCAAATCAACACTGCCAAAAACATGAATATGAGAAACCAGACAGATAAGAAATCCTGAAAAGGACAGATGTAGCTATGCACAAGGATTTTACCAACCAAACAACCGATAGAAACACGTGATGGTTATTTACACTTCACGTAAATTAGACACCAATCATCCAAAACACGAGTATGCAAGGAGAAACAAAAATATAAATTTGCAAGGTTACAATGTATTCCTTCGTGATAAATATGTAAAAATTGAAAGATTCATTTTGTTATCCAGTTGGTAATCATTTTTTGTCAGCTATGAGAATTTACATTGGCAACATTTACTCAACTAAAATTCACTATAATTCTGAATGGTTGAAGACAATAATTAAATGGTATACTTGGGGTCTTCTATAACAATTTAACCTTTTGAATTAGTATAGTTTTGAATGGTTGAAGACAAAATTTACATATCCGTTACCTTTTCTAACAACTTAAATTTTAGATCAACTGATTATAAATGGTATCAGTGCAGCAAAGGTCCAGGTTCAAGTCTTACAATATTATGTACTTGTAAAGTTTTGATTGGGGGGGGAGCATGCCTACATGTGGAGGGAGGGGGTTGATTGAAGAAAAGATGTAAATTGATAACATGTTGTCCTCTCAAACTTGATTCAATATGAATAAGCTTAAAAGGCACTCTATAAAATTGATAATATTATAGAGAAAACTACTCTTTTAAAATTTGGATTCACTTTGTCTAGGTCTGGTATGTTCGCATTTCTGATTTAGATTATTTACATGTTCTACATTGTTGATAAACAGAGATGAATAACCACAATAACTAACCAAAAGTTTGCATACCATTTATATCAATAGTGGATGATCCTCCTGCCTACTAAATAATGTTAATGAGTTAAATTACTAACATAATTAGTCCACTCATGTTTGACCATCTGAGAGCTAAAAAATTCAGAAGGCAAAGAGTAGTGACAGGATATAGCATTAGCAAGTCACCTTTATTCCTAGTCATGCTCAAAATTATCAGGACAAACTTGAAGCTTTCAAGGCTTTGATGGGAAAAGGAAAGTCTATAAATGAAAATGACCAGCCAATTTCAGTTAGGTGACCGATAAATGAACACAAGAAAGAAGAAGATAATATTGTACGGAAGAGTACAGGTTGATCCAAAGAAAAGGATGCCTAAGAGAACAATATATATTGGACAACATTGTGACTATAAAGTATGGATTATGATACTATATGGACTTCAGTGCGTTCGAAGTCCAATTTGTTTTTTCATCAAATCATAAATGGACGATGGTGTCACTAGAATCCCAAGATCTCTCTATTGTGATACCTTGTTGAAACCACCTCATCCAAAGCTTAAACCATTAGGAATGTGACAAACTTATTTATTTTAATTATGACTTCAAGAGTTTCATAATTCTATTCTATACAGTACTTGCGTTGTGAATATTGTAAATAACTATTATGAAAAAATGATGATTGTACATAATACAATTATAAAGATATTACCTGTCAAGTTCAGAACCCATATCAGTAGCCATGCCCTTTAATTCACCCAATATATAGCTTAGATCTAAAAGTGCATCACCTTGCTTTGCCTTCGCCATGTCCTGGGTGCATGCATTCTTGTGATAAACAGTTAATAATAGAATAATTTTATACAACAAACATATACCTCAATTTTCTGTAAGGCATTTGTTGGATCCAGAGGAGGCATCCAATGAAGGTCATCCTCTAGGCGCCAGATCCAAACCTAACTTATACTTTGAGCCAGTCTACTTCATTTTTCTCTATCATTTTTGTCATGGATCAAATATCACAACAGGAAGCACCATATTAATCATTTATTATATTTCAATTCAATCGAGTTTCAAATAATATTTTCCATGAAATTATTGAGACTACCAAAAAGAGAAGTGTTAAACCTCTTGAATTTAAAGGCCCAGTGATGTCCTATCTCTTTTTTGGCTTCCGAGGCGTAGAAAACACGTCAACCAGATTATTCAACAATTTCTCCCCTGAAAGAAAATTGTATGATCATCTTTACTAGAGAAAAAATGCAATCAAAAGTAGGAAAATATGATTTCAAGGAAAAAAAACAATTGAACAACTGGTGAGAAATCTAATTAGTCCAAATCAACTACATCCAACATGTTAGACCAACATGCATAATATATCATCAGCAAAAATAGTTACTTGTTTTAAAAGTAAGTACTCTTCTTAAGCTTACCCATTCATGCTCTAATCAGATCTCCCATGACAGGTTCTCCTAGATGACACGGCCACACACACAACAGATATGTCTTCAATCTGTATTCTATCCCATTTTGTATTAATAAAAGTAAAGATCCCTAAGAATGTTTAGAAAATATTGAGTTACACCATAGTTGTAAGGCATATTAATGACAAATCAATCAAAAAACTATAAGCATTGTCAGGCATAATATGAAACAAGCAGAGAGGCCACACAGATGTAGAGAACAGAGAGGTTAAGTTCTGATGGAGGAAAGGAATCAAAGATTGAAAGATTATTACTGAATAACTATATTCACTGTGACTTGTTACCAAATCCAATAGTGTACCAAAAAGTTAATATGGCTAGAGCAGAAAAGATTTTATAACTTCTCCCCAAGCAATACCAAATTTGTTCATACTCCATAAAGGGCAGAATGAGAAATAAATAATCTGTCCACAAGCTACTATGTCATGAAAAATATAGATGCAAATTGAAATAAAATTTGATATACCCTGCTCAAGTTTGTCCACATCAATAGCCATCATGTGAGTCCTGCGTATTTGCTCACCCTGTTGATGCAAGGTCTCTAAGGTTCTAACACCATTTTGTCTAATGTCTTCAGGCAGTTGTTCACGGAGTTTGTTGTCTCTTCAGTCTTGTTCACAGCATAACTCTGCAATTCTTGAATAGACATGCTCTCAAGCCCTCTCTTGCCCTGAGACTTGTTACCATGTTTGTTTCTAGAGGAGTACGAGGATAAGGAAGATGCTACTCTTCCAATATCGTTGTTGTCGTCATCATCGAAGGATTAGATTTTTGGTTTAGTGTAATGAGCACTGGTCCAGAAAATGTTCTTCTTCCAGGTGTAACAATTGGTTTGTTATCAGATTTCGCATCAGAATCAAGAGGATTAGAAGGATTGGCAAGTGATTTCCTAAAGCCGAACATTTTACCAAATCGGTTTATGAGTTGAATTACTACCCAGAGGCCTGGAATAATTCCTTTCCAAAGTTCCTGTCCTGCTAGGATTGTTTAAGATACACACGATGTCCAATTGCAGCACCTGGAAGCCCAATTAATTTAGAAAATGGAAACGAGATCATAACAGTCTGATTATGCTTTTCAGGTTAAGAGATATTTTCACATAAGAAGATATGCCATATATCACAAACAAGGACTTGGATAAAACCTAAAATATTATGATACGTAAATGACAAAAACATTAGATAATCCTTTTATGCACATCATAGGAATTTAAACCATTATGCAACTTTCAATC